TGCCAAAACTGAGATTTATCTGTCAAAATAGACATGTATTAAAATCGACATGCATCTATCAAATTTACATTTATCTATCATAATGACGTTTATATATCAAAATTGACAAAATTCACATGTATCTGCCAAAACTGACATTTATCTCTTAAAATAGACAAGTATCTGTTAAAATCAAAGTGCATCTGTCAAAATTAAGATCATTGTTTAAAATTCACATTTATCTATCAAAATTGACAGTTATCTATCAAAATTAACAGGTATCTGTCAAAATTAACATGTATCTGTCGAAATTGATACTTATATATCAAAATTGACATTTATCTGTCAAAATTTGCACTTATTTGTCAAAATTGGCATTCGCATGTCAAAATTAACATTTATCTATCAAAATCGATATTTATCTATAACAAATGGACATTAATCGATGAAACTTAACATTTATCTAATTTGCATTTATCTGTCAAAATTGTCCGTTTGTTGTCAAAATTGATATTTATCTGCGAAACTTCACAATTATCTGTCAAAACAGGCATTTATACGTCAAAATTGATATTTATCTAAAAAAATTGACATGTATCTATCAAAGCTGACATTTATTTGTTCAAAATTAACATTTATCAATCAAAATTAACAGGTAACCGTCAAGATTGATAATTATCAGTACTGTGAAACTTCATATTTATCTGTCAAAATTTACATTTATGCGTCAAAATTGGCATTTATCTCTCAAAATTGGCATTAATCTATAAAATTTGACATTTATCTAACAAAATTAGCAGTTATCTAACAAAATTGACATTTATATCAATATTGACATTTTTATCTGTAAAAACTGATACGTAACTGTAAAACTTCACATTTGTCAGTCAAAATTGACATATATCTATCAACGTTGACATGTACCTAACAAAATTGACATGTATCTATCAAAATTGACATTCATTTTTCAAAATTGACATTTATTTGTCAAAATTAACAATAATCTGTCAAAATTGACATTCATCTGCCAAAAAATGTCATTTATATGTCTTATGTTATTATTAACACTCCTAAAAGATGTTTTAATTTACAATATTGGAAGCAGTGTCGCATTTTCACAAGGCATAACAAAATGGGATTAAAAATATAAGTCACTTTATGGTCACTCCGTGTATATATCGTGTCTTAGAGACAAAAAATTGCCTAAAGTCAGTCTACTCGTTTAAAAAAAATAAGAAGAAACAATATTCAGATAAAAATGCATTTTTTTTATCGAAAATAAAACACGAAAATTGAAAAAAGGCCATCATCATACCAATCCCTTAGACTAGGTATAAATACATAAGAAAGAGGTTAATTTCAAAGTACCTACTGGAGGAAAAAATTATGTACAAATAGAATCCTTAAAATACAAACAAAAAATAAGTATAAGAATAAATTTAAAATAATTCAGGGTTGATTTCATTTATTTTCGATATAATTTTGTACTCCATTTAAATAATTCACCCTGTATAACAATTATAAACAGATTGCTCAAATAGTGGATATATATATTTGGTTAAAACAGCAAATAAAGAGGAAACGAATTTTTTGACAGCTTGTATATAATTTCCCCTCCAAATATTTTTTTACACCAACATGGCTTATTTAATGCATAGCTATCGATATATAATAAATATAAAAGGTAGAATTTAAAGATTATCGTACAATATATTTACAAAAAAAGAGGAAACAATTTATTTTCTTTAATTCTATAAAACGAAAACAAAAAAATAAAATATTTACAGTTAAATTAAAACAATACGGGAAAATAGCTGCACTAATTTTTTTTCTATCGGTACGTAGGTATACTTTTGATAATAATTATTATACGTTTCAAACATTACACCCTTTGTAAAAAAGAAAACAAAAACCCAAAAATAAAATACATTCAAACTCATTTAACTTAAAAAAGAAAGTTGTTTTATCAAAAGCTTTTACAAACCGATACAAACGTACAAGGGGAGTAGGAAAAAATGCTCATCGACTCTATAGATGCTCCCTTTATACCTACAATTCGTTTTCCCATCTCATTTGAAGGATAAACCGGTTCATCCTGTATATTTTACTTAATGCGAGGAACCGTAAAGAGGTAGTAATTATAACTTATTTTTCACACCCTGTAAGAACACTGATGTTTTGTACGATACGTTGTATCATAAAATTTCGAAAAATATATCAGGCTATTTTTAGGAAAGTTCTGAGCTTTATAAACGATTTACAGTTACTCAAATTTGTGTCCATGTTCACAATGTAAATAAAAATGGAATATTTGGTTGACAGATACAGCGTTTGATTAAACAATACTAGATTTTAAAAAGTCGTACTACTTCTGTAAAAATTTGATTATGTTGTCATTGTATCAATGTTTTAAACAAAAATTATTCAAACAAGTAGGTAAAACTTATTCATTTTGTTGGTGAGTACAATTAAAATTCGTCATTCAACAAATTATTGGGAAGTATGCTGCAAAGGCATTCTTTAACAAAATTGTTTGTTCTGTTGATGTTCAATTAAAGAATTCTCTGATTTTTAGTTTGGTATTTTTAAAGTTTCTTTAACAAAATGCGAAAATTAATGAAGGTATGGACCAGAGGAATGGAAGAGATTGATAGTAAGAACTTAATACTAGAAAAACCAACAAAATATATTTGAGAAGTATGACAGAAGATTGGAAAACAGAAGTAGAAATAACACAGAGAACAGACGAACCAAAATATATTATTCAATAAACACAATAATACTGGGACATAACGGAATTAAAAATGAAAATCCACAATATAAATAAACCCTGCCTGCGAAACACACGAAAAATTGCAAGAAAAACTAAATGGGATAGGAAAGAATGGGGATATTAAAAAAATAAAACAAGCGTCAAGAATGGATAAATAAAATAGAAGGAACTAAACTAGTATGGACATTTGTTAAGAATAACTTCTGTCTAGTCAAATGTAATGGTTTTAAAATCGAAATAAACATAATTTTTACTTTTGTTTGACATCTGTCAGAAGTGAGCAGTGTCAAAACTGCCAATAGAAATTTCGATTCAAAATTGTATATTATTCTTAACAAGAACTAGTTCGGAATTTGGAAAACCAGCCAAAAAACAAAGAGAAGACTGAAAAGAAAATACATATATAGATGAAATTAAAGAAATTGAAATGAAAAAAAGGAAATAGAATAATGTATCCTTTTCAATAACCTAAAAAGGCAAAAGGAACTCGAGAAAAAAGAAACGACTAAAAAACATTTTAAAGTAAACGTCTTCAAAATTGAAGAATAGCCAAAGAAAATGTTAGTTTTTTTTTCTGTTTCAGTTATTTGACGGGCATTACTTACAAGAGAAATATAGTTCAGAGTATTGGCATAGAAAAGCAAATACTGTACTATACAAAACAAAAATCTTAAGCCATATTAAACTTATCTATACTTGAACCTGTATCTGTCAAAATTGAGATTTATTTAACAAAATTGACATTTTTCTGTTAAAATTGACATCTGTCAAAATTAACATATATGTCAAAATTGACATTTATATGTCAAAATTGGCATTTATCTGTCAAATTGGACATCTACCGACCAAAATTTACATTTTTCTGCCAAAATTGACACTTATCTGTCAAAATTTACATTTATCTGTCAAAATCGACAAACTATATATTTAGGTAAAGTTTAAATTTATCACGCGAGGTATCGATAATTTTTAGAGGCATAGAAGATGAAAACAGCTAGTGGAGAAGAACAAACCAAGAATTGGCAATCATGTATAATAACCCAAGTACCACTCATGTTATAAAAAAAGCATACAGACAAGATGGTTAGGGCATGTCTACAGGATGCCGAAGAACAGGATGGTAGGAAAATTCGTGAGGGAAGGGGAGTCAGGTAACAAAATCAATGAGGAAATGGGAGACAGCTAAGAAAAGGAGGGGTTGACTGAAGAATAAGTGACTAGATGCAGTTAAGGAAAGTGGTCGTTGAAGACTGAACAGCCTTAGCAGTTAACAAAGAAAAGTGGAAGACGACATTAAAGAAACTCTTTTTTTAAAGTTTATAAAATAACTAAGTGATCAAATTACCTTTCGAATTAATTAAATAGTCGATTAATTGAATAATCAAAAATAATCGAATTATAAAATATATTCGATTATTTTTAATCAATTGCCATATCGAAAACAATCGACTATTTTAAATAATCGACACCAAAAATTAAAAATATCGATTAATCGAAAGTAATCGATTTTCTATTGACTAATTGAAAGTAACCGATTAATGGAAAATAATCGATTTCACGACTAGTCAAAAACAATCGATAAAGCAAAAATGATTGATTAAACGAAAATAAATTATCAATCGAACAATTGAATAATCGATGAATTAAAAATAATCGAATAGATTATTAATTGAAAATATTCGATTATTTTCAATTACTCGATGTATCGAAAATAATCGATTTTCTATTGACTAACTGAAAATAACTGATTAATGGATCTCACGATTAATCTAAAACAATCGATGAAGCAAAAATAATTTAAATTTTACTGATTAATCAAAAATAATCCATTAATAAAAAATAATCGATTAATCAAAACCAATTGATTGTTTTCAATTACTCGTTGTTTCGAAAATAATCGATTTCCTATTGACTAATTGAAAATAACTAATTAATGGATCTCACGATTAATCTAAAATAAGCGATTAATCGAAAATAATTAATTTTTTACTGATCAATCAAAAATAATCTATATTTTACTGATTAATTGAAAATAATCGACCTCTCGAATAATCTAAATATCTAAAAATAATCGATTAATCAAAAATAATCGATTATTTTCAATCACTCATTGAATATAATCGATTTTTTAATTGACTAACTGAAAATAAATAATAAAAAATAATCGATTTTTTAATAAAACACAAATCATCGATTAATTGAAAATAATCGACTAATCGATCAATCGATTAATCTAAAATAATGGATTCATTTTAATAATCGCCCAGCCTCACTCATAACTAAGTGAGGAAATTGGCTTTTTATAACAGAACACTACAGTCCACAGGGGAAAATTATTTACATTAACCAGTTGTTTGCATCAAAACAACGAACAATCGGTAGATACGAATTTCAAGTCTAGTTGTAGAAGGTAAATGGAACATAACTTCAAAATTAAGGTTTTTAGAAAGAACGAATTGTATAAAAGAAATAAAAAATGTTAAATATTGTGGACATAATCCTATAATCTGATCTTGTCAACCTTAAAATCGCAGTAAGCATTTTAACTTTTTCGTTCATCTGTCAGAAGTGTCAAAACAATGGATGTTCTTTTTGGTAAAAATAGACGATTCAAAATTTTATGACACACAGCTCGTTGTTAGTCAACTAATGTATATTTTTTTTAGTTTTAATTTTATTAAAAAGACACTGTAATAAATACATTAAGCTAATAAAACTAATTTTTTTTAATCTACAAACTGGTTACTCACCTATTATGAAAATACGATATAAAAACTTCATAAAATTTTAATAAAAAAATCAACCAACGTCTGTACAAGTTTTAATCTTAAAAAAAAAACCAAAATACGCCGGTCACTTTTTAATCTACATACAGGGCGAGATTTTTATAGTGATTCAACATTATTTCATGTAAGAAATTAAAAAAATCACCCTGTATATACGAAACAGGAAAATAAAAGCAAACATGTTTTTTTTTTTCGTCTTAAATTAGGTACAATTTAAAAAAATCCTCTAAAAATTACGCCTACAACTCTAAACGAGATACCAACATCTCCAGCCAATAACTAAAAAATATACAGAAAAACATGTCAGCGTCAATATTATTTTTAAAAACGCTAAATCAAACATAAGAAAAACCAAAACAATATTTTTATATATAAAAGTTTGTTCAAAGATTACCAACCAACATCGAACCCGAAACAAAACAAAAATCCTTATCAAACATTATCTGCCTCTTATTTTCCTCCAAGTGACGCTTCTCGAAACAATCCTTAGATAAATATGCATTATCTGAAACGCGAAATCGTGCATAATTCACTTTTTTTAACTCGTCTAGATTCATAAAGTTACTTGTGAAAAATTAAGTTTAATTAAAATTCGTCTTATACACCGAATCTTATAACAGCTATAGAGCTCTCACGAAGAATTTCTACAGTTTTGGGTTCCTTAATACTATCAGATGTACATCATATAGTTTGATAAAAAATCGGCAAACATTAAAAAAACCACAAGGTACCTTCTTCTTGAATATAGAGCCATAAACTGGGTTTGGGAGTCTAAAGAATCAGCTACACCAAATACTGGTATAGAAATAGTCTGAGAACATCACGGAATGGCTCAAGAAACATCGATAAATTCTTCTACCTTATCCAGATAGAGCAGAAAAATTGGGATGAACTTGTCAAGTTCTTAGAAAGCACAACAGTCTTAGATTGTTGTGGATTCCAGAAAACTATCAGATGTTCAACAAATGAAAGAGCTCATCAACTATCGAAGAGAGTGCAAAAATATTTGATAACAAATTAGAGAATTATCTATAGTAAATACACAATAAGCCAATAGGCTTCAGTGTTATTTGGAGACATAGTCAGACGAGCCCAGGAAAAAAAAAATAGTAAATACTGACCCAAAAATAGTCCGAGATTAAATCATGGGATGGCTCAAGAACATCAAAAAATTCTCAGGCAACACCAAGAAATCACGAGGTACCCTATCCAGATGAGCCAGAACATCGGAATTAACTCAGAGGTCTTAGAACACAGAAGAGTCTTGAAAATGAAAAAGCTCATTATGAAAGAGAATCGAGAAACATTTGAGAACAGATCATTGAATGGCTCAAGAAACAATGAATTTTCTCAGTCAACTCTAAGAAATAACAAGATATCTACCTTATCCAGATAGAGCTGTAAGATCGAAAAGAACTTTTAGTTCTTAGAAAACACAACAGTCTCAAACTGTTGTGGGTTTCGGGAAACTACCAGATGTTCAACAAATGAAAGAACTCATTAACAATGACAGAAACGTCTGAAAACAAATCATTAGAGAATCAGCTACACTGAATACTGGGCCAAAAATAGTCTGAGAACATATTAAATGGCTCAAGAAATGTCAACAAATCACAAGGTACCTTATTCAGATAGAGTTGTGAACCAAATATAAGGCAACAAATTCTTCTTAGATAATACCAAGAAACCACGATGTACCTTATCCAGATAGAGCTGTTAGTGTTCTTAGAAAACACAACAGTCTCAGACTATTATGGATTCCTGGAAAGTATTGGATGTCCAACAAATGGAAGTATTCATAAACTATCAAAGATAATCCAGAAACGCCTGAGAACAAATCATGGAATGTCTCATGAAACATCAACAAATTGAGATCATAATGCAAGTCCAGGCAATTCTAAAGGTATATCTCTTAAGATAGACCTAAAACTCGAGAGTTATGGAAAAATATAACAAGTCTTAGGGCAAACGTGAGGTGGAAGACGTACAACTTAAGGAGTGCAAATATAAAACAAAAATATTGGTTAAAGAAGACGATGGGTTGCTAGATACAAGCACTGAAAGAGAAGAAGCAATTGACTAGTGATATGAAACAATTTAGCCAAATAAAATATTATTTGTACACCGTTTGATACAATGACAGGCTAATAAGGGAAATGTGCCAGGGAAGCTTTTCATACTTTAAGGCACAATAAGATAATAAACAGAAGAAGGAAATATTGGAGATAAAAGCATCAGAGGAAGAGTTAAATGAGGTTGAGTGACGATATTAAGAATACAGCAATAAAAACTGCTAGTGTTGTATTCAAAGGCTAGTAAGCAACGAGGGATGACATCTGATAGTTTATAGATAAAATGAATATATTCTAACTGAATTTTGTCCAGTAGCGATTTAAAAAGTGCTTTTAATGGGCTTGAAGAAACTTAATCGATCACAGCAACTTTACGATCAATAAAAGTGAACGCAGCCAAGAGAACACTAATTAAACTATCAACAGTCAGCAAGTTGACGCAAAGCGGTATTTAACTATCACTCGTTTGCGCCGGGAGATGATTAAATGCATATTTACTGAAACGAGATTAAAATTAAACCTAATTTTTAACTTTCGCGTTACCACTACTGCTGCTACTCCCTAAACTTTGGTTATTGTTGTTATTCTGCTGCTTTAAGTCTTCGCTTTTCACAAAGTCGATCTCCGCGTACACGAACGTAGCGGCGTCGCCCGAGGGCGTCGTCGTCGTGCCGGTTTCGTTAGACGGGGTTTGTCGATTGGAGGGGCGTCCCTCCTCCAAGTCGAGGCTGGCGTAGTGCAGCTTGGTGTCGGGTTTGTCGGTCTTTTGCGACGAGTCGAGGCTGTCCGAGTTTACCGAACCCGGTCGCGAATTTACTAGAGTCGATGAGCTGGACCACAGTTCGCTGGAGGTGGAGCTGGGCCGCGACGAGGCCGACGTTACGGAAGCCGGGCGGGATTTAGGTAGCGATGCGGCGGCTGGTTTGACGCCGCCCGAATCGCTGTTGACCGAATTCGGCCGGGAGATTTTGGCGGCGGGCGATACGCACTCGCTGTTGGACGAGGAGGGGTTGAATTCGGCGTAGTCTGAGGTGTCCATCGAGTCTGGAAGAAAAATTGACCATTATAAAATGAATGATTGACTGTCTAAAAGATCTGATATCAAATGAAGACGATTAATACGAAATTTGGGTCAAAAGGGAAACACTTCAATCACTGGGTGACGGAAGTTTCTCCATAGGTAAGAAATGACTGTTAAGGAAGGTATGAGTTCTCTTAGGATAGTCGTAAGGTGCTTTGAGTAGCAGAATTTTGGTCATTTGCAAGACTGACTATCGTAGTACAATATCAGAGATAATCAAAACAAACACAGATCACCGAGATGCTCTATTTCTACCAAGGAAAAGTTCAGAAGTAATATCAAACATTGATTATTGTTCATAAGCCAAACATCTATATTATACAGGAAAATACACAAAACGCCAGGTTGGTTACTACTAAATGCAGATCATACACAAAACATAAAGACATTAATATAATTTGATAACAAAAATTGAGTTTAATCTGTCAAAATTTACTTTTATTTATCAAAATTGACATGAATCTGTCAAAATTCACATGTATCCGTCGAAATTTAGATTTATCTAACAAAATTGATATTTATCAATCAAAATTGACATTTATCTGTCAAAATTGATATGTACCTGTCATAATTTGCACTTATTTGTTAAAATTGACATTTATCTATCAAAATTGAATTTAATCTGTAAAGATATCTTCCCAAGATCCTGGAAAGAAGCAATCCTAGGGCTAATACACAAAGAAGACGAATAATTAAAGGGATAAAGAACCATCTTTCAGGCACGATAGGAAAACTATACGAAATATTAATAAATACAAGACTAAATAGGGAAGTGGGGTGGGTTTAGAAAGGGAAGGTCCATAATCCAGGCTGTTAAAGACCTAGTGGAGCTAGCGACAAACATCATAAATAAGTGGGTCATGGTGGTAGCGACAGACGTCAAAAAAGGCCTTCAATATCGCTTCAAGAGAAAAACAAGCATCAAGCCTAATGAGGAATCTAATCGATTCACAGAGAAATCTTGGTAGACAAGCAGAACAGAAAAACCGTAAGAGTTGGGATTTCACAAGGTTCAGTCCTGGGACCTCTGTTGTAGGATATCCCATGTGATAGAATTTTCGAAACACGGCTGGAAGAAGGGGTATCTGTTATAGCGTTATAGTTATGGAAACAAATTATGAGAAGATGATTGTAAAAGACAAGAATTTAATAAAGGAAATCCTGGAAAAGATGGTAGAAAATATACCATTGTAGAAAACAAAACAGGTATTAATCCTTAAAGGATCACAAAGGAAAGAGGGAATCAAGTTCAGTGTTGGTAGAGCCGAAAGAATAACACCAGAAGAAAATTAAACACTTAGGAGTGGTAGTGGATGACAACATGCTGCTTGGACAACATATCAGATACATAACAAAGAGGACTGACTATCGAAATTTTCGGGAATAATGACAAATATAAGAGGACAGGAGTAAAAAAAGAGGCAAATGCTGTATGGAGTGGTAAAATTGATTTTAATATATAAGAATAGTAGTGTTCATGATGACCGTCCAAGTGATTGCAGAAGTACCTCATACATCTGCTAGCAAAGGAAAGGGCAACTTTATAAAAGAGAGAAGATATAAATAAGAAATGAGCAACAGGGGGAGAGAGAAACAAAACTAGAGAAATGTAAAGAGGAATGGGTAAAGGGAATACGTGATTTGAAGAGATGGATGGAAAATAAACATCGAGTAACGGACTATTATCTTACCCAGTTTCTGTCGAAACACGGGTCGTTTGGCACACCACAATTGGGAAAAGCAGAACCGCAGAAGGCGGGATATCATTTCCTTTCCACTGTGCTTAAATGCCAGAGATGGCTAAGAATAAGAGTGAAAGAGGATTCAAATGAGGGAAGATTTACAAAGGAAAACAGAAAAAATAGAAAAAATCATGGTAGAGGGGAAAGAAGAGCGGAAAGCAGTTGATGGTCTAGTACGCCAGGTAATGAAAGAGCAAAACAGGCCAAAGAAGTAGAGTAAAAGGTCTAATCCCAGACGTTGATGCAGGTTTGGAGGGATGAAGTTTTAGTGGGTGTAATTTCCACTCCCGGAGAAAGGTAGAACCAGTACCCGGCGTCAATAACGGATTTAAAAAAAAAGAGAGTCAAGGATTAGCCTACCCATCGAATCTTCCGATTTGTTGCATTTAAACTGAGGGAAACCAGAGTACAAACTAGGTTTAGTGTAATAGATCATCCTGTAACAGGATATCTTGTAGTGGTCTCTGATGAAATATATTATTTTTGATTTGTCATTATAATAAAAAGTATTGAATTTGATCTTAAAAAAAAACCTTTATTTCGAGCAATATTGAGAAATCTTTCAAATTATTCTGTACATTTAGTAATAGTAAATATAATGAAATCTTACTCATAAGAACTTTGGTTCTTTAGTTCAAATTAGGTACAAATAATGTAAGATAGGAGTAGAATTTGTTGGGATGGTCACTGCAAACTCGTGTTTTTCACCTCAACGTTGACGTTAATTTTGAAAAATCTTTTATTTATTCACTTCGATATATTATAAAAAAACTGTTCAATTCCAGTTATACACGTTTCAGCTTCCAACGCCGAGCATCCCAACCCAAGCATCTTGTCCATTAGGATTTGGCGTTGGAAACGATTGGAATGCGCACATTCACACCAAAAATTTAATTTGGGTTCGATAGCTTTTGGGAAGGTTCGGTCGCTTGATCAGTTTGGTGCGAAAAGTGAGACCAGTAGGTAGAAAATGTTGATATTTTTTTTATCAAAACACAAATATATGCTAACCAGTACGCGGCTGAACTAAAATTGTCATCAAATTGCCAAAAGCAACTTTAGAAAAACAACACAAGCAAAATCTCTACCAAGCGGGCGACAAATCCCGTCCAGACCAAATCAAACATTCCTTTGATGTACCGCTCAAGGAGCGAACGCAACCGAACGCCAACGCCACCTTGGAATCGGTTGGGCTCTGTTCGTCGCGCCGTACACACCGACACCAACGCTGAGCACATGTTCCTTGGTTTGCGTTAGAATCTCGGTCTGTACGCGGCTTAAGACATTTAATTTGTAAATGCCGTTCCACCCTCAAAGGAACACGATTATCATCATAGAATTCAGTCAGAATCAAGATATTAATTTTAGGTTATTTATATTGATCTGTTGTTTTTATGGAATTTGACTTTTGTATTTCTTTTCTGGAATATGAGTTGTCAATCTTATGAAAAGAATAAACGTCTTTTTAATTCAGGATCTTTGAATAACAATCAAATCTAAACAAAGTTGTGTATGTACAAAGACAACAGAGACGTGTAACTTAAAAGGAAAAATTTATTCGGTAGTTCATTTAAATGTATAGAAAAACTATTTTATTTCAGAATCCATGTTTGAATTTCCTGTCCTACAGCATTTTTAAATTTTCCCGATATTTATGACTGGATACACTCAGCAGTAAGAGGCATGAAGAAAATTGACTAGTGGCTCCATCATAGACTGGTTGCCATTACAATCGAACAAAAAACTTTTGCCGAACAAAAAAAGATACATTGAGTTACACGCCTCACTGGGTTGTCTCAGATATGTATTTATTTGCTAAATTACATGTTGTGATAGGGATCTTCCCTACGGTTTCCTTTTTTGCTTAGTTATTCAAATTGTTAAAACTCAATTATACAAAAACATTATTTACCTCCTAATCTCTTATCGTCGACCGGTGACGACATGGCGTCTTCCTTGATCGGTTGAAAGCACATCGACTGACTCTCCTTGAACCCAATCAAAGACAAATGCCCGATCAACGGCGACGTATCCAAACTCCCGCTCCGCTGTTCCAATCTAGATCCGGGCTGCATCACCGCGTAATCGCTAGATGCCGCCTCCTTCTTCCTATCCAACCTGTCGAATCTGTCAGTCCTCTCGACGGCCGGCGAATAGTTGACGTAATCAGAGTTCTCCTTGTCCTTTTCCCTATCGATCCTGTTCACTTCGAAGTCCATCACGGCGTAATCGTCTGCCGGCGGAGGCGCTGGGGCCGTCGTCTTCATCGTCTTGTAGATGGTACCCAAGATCGAAGAAGGCACCTTCAGCGAAGGCGATTCGGCCGGCTTGGTGACCTTGGGCGAGCTGGGGCTGTTCAAGCTCATGGGGAAAATGGTGCTCGAGCTACTGGGCGTCGTTACGCTAGAGCTCGAACTATCTCTCGAGTCTTTACGCGGTCGTTGACGCGGCAGGCTCGAGTATTGGGAGTTGGTGGACCAGGACGACAGCGGCAGGTGCATTTTGGGCGGCGTTCCCGTCGACGATTTCCTACCGAGAAGGGACGATATCGATATGGGACTCGACGAGTGCTTGGTGACCTGCGAGGTGGTAGTAGTGGTGGGATGAATCAAAATCGGTTGCGACATGACTTTGGAGTTCTTCGAAGGCTTCTTCTTTGGTCCGACGGACATGTTCAAGTAGTCTTCGTTGACGGGAACGCTCTGGTTGCCGTCCAGGCTGCCTTGGCGCTGGTGTTTCTTACCGATGGTCATCTCAACGTAGCCCTCGGGCGTCTTGGGTTGGTCGACGGGTGAGAAGTTCATCGACAGATAGTCGGCGTTTCTGGGAGAGGAGGACGTCGATTGCTGTGAGCTGAACGAGGCGCCGCGGTCGGATCGACGAGAGCTGTTGGCCGACATGTCGAAGTAGTCGTTGCTCCATGCTGGGGACGTCGACGGTTTGACTTTGGGTTTCCTGGAACTAATATTTAAATGTGATTTATACGGTAATAGAAAAGTATGAAGATTGGAATTTCGATAGTAACATGAAACTTTTATACAGTTTAACACCTAACGGTAGAAACATTAGTCACCTGTTAAAATTCAATTGTGGTAAAAATGAAGTACTTCTTAAATTGAGTGTGCATTAAAACAAAATACCGTTTAAATAATATCAGTGAAATGAGTGAAAAACTGAATATTAGATTCGTTCCAGCAGATATTCCAAACCTATCAAGCATGTGGTAATTAGAAAATTTTTAAATTACATCTTCAGAGCATGCTTGAAAAGTTCAGCACTAGCTGCTGGAACAAACCTATTGTTGTGCAAGCTATTTTCGATCAGTTCGGTCATGCTCGAATCCCTTAAGTCCATAGCCTTATTTGGACCACTTACGGCATCTACTTATCCTATTACTTAGAATATTCGGAAATAAGTCAACCTCTGAAACCTCCAACCACTCAGTTCAAGTTGAGCAGATTAATATTGTTAATATAAATTAGTATATAAGTAAATGTAATATAAATTAGTATATCAGATTAGGAAATATATTGTGTATTATTGTTAAAAAAAGAAATAAAAAATGATAAATTATTTTAGAAAAAAAAAAAAATAGTAAAATCTCTTGAAACAAAGTGAACTATTTCAAAAATTCAACTATTTTTACTTAACGCAATAGGAGTAAAATTGGATTTAAAAACATTTTCTTGGAATGAAAAAAAAAAAAAAAAAAAAAAAAATAGAAAATTTGGTACATGAACTACTTCTTGATTTGCATTTCTTAAATAAAAAGCTGTTTTCTCAAACACTTAAAAAATCCGTTACAAATGAATCTCTTCTTGAATAACCTGTTTCTAACTAAAAAGATTAAGATAGAGTAGATAGGATACACATGAACTACCTCTTGAAAATGCTGTTTTGAACTTTTAAAAAATGGTACAAATAAATTACTTCTTGAATAAGATATTTTTACCCTAAAAACGTTTTAAAAATATGGTATAAATGAACTACTTGAATAATCTATTTTTTGAATTAGTTATTTTTAACTATAAAAACATTTTAAAAACATGGTACAAACGAATTAATTCTTGAATATGCGGATTTTAACTTAAAAGATTTAACACACAAGAATTACTTCTTGAATAATCTGTTTTTTTAATTATGAATAATGGTAAAAATAAACTATAAGATCTTGAAAGAGTTTGAAGATTGTACGAATTAACCATTTATTTAATTTAGTAACAATTAGGTACAAATTGAAAACTTTTTAATACAAAAAAAAGATAAAAATTAACTGTTTTTAAAAAAAGAAAGTGGTACAAATGACCTACTTCCTGAAAAAGAGGTTTTTAATTAACGCGTAATATCCTGTTCTGATTTTTAATATTCAAAACAAACTAAATCATAACATCCAATTAAAGTCCGATCCTGGACCTGTCCGCAATGTGCCGTACGTCTGTATCCTTTGTATTGCCGAAATTATTAAAAAAAAAAGATTATCTCTGACCATAACTACAAATTGAAGACGAACTTACCTACTACAATCCATGTCCATGTAGTTATTGTTGGTCGGAAGTCTGTACTGCCTGTTGATGTCTACGAAGGAAGTGTATTCTTCCTGTCTCGAAGACGGCGAACTTCCGCTCATGTCCATGTACGAAGACCCGGACATGTCGACGTACGGCGATACTTCCGTTTTTTTCGGTAATATTTCGACGCCTGGCTTCATTTCCACGTAACCGTTGTTGGTGGTAGTGGTACCGGCAGTAGGAGTGGCTATGCGTAAATAAATAGATATAAATGGATATGAATGGATATGAATGGATATGAATGGATATGAATGGATATGAATGGATATGAATGGATATGAATGGAAACGAATGGATATGAATGGATATAAATGTATATAAATGGATATAAATGGATATAAATGGATATAAATGGATATAAATGGATATAAATGGATATAAATGGATATAAATGGATATAAATGGATACAAATGAATATAAAATAAATAATTACCGGCGGTATTGTTATTGAGGCCGTTTTTCGAAAAATCCAATTCCATCAAATCGTCCATGGGATCGATGGAGCTGTGCGAGCTGTGATTCCTCGAATTGCTCAGCATCGGTGCGCTGATCGACTTCAAGTTAGGATGTTGTTGATGGGACAAAATCCTGCTGGGACCTTTCTTGGTTTTCGAGCCGACGCTGAAAGCTCTGACTCTCGCGCTGTCCGACATCTCGACGTGCTTCTTTCCTCTGAAGGTCTCCGGTTTGGATCCGAACGAGTACGCTCTGGTGGGTCGGGTACCGTCGTCTTCGGAGGTGAGATAGGATGCGACTTTGTCCAAGGGATAGTCGGAGAAGCGGGTATCGGTACTCGGCGTACCGGATACGACGCTACTGACGCTGGCAGTGGGCGAGTGAGTCGTGTGACGGCATCGCGGCGACATATCGACGTAGCCGTCGTCGGAACTGTGCGGCGCCATGCGGACGTAGCTGTCGTACATGCCTGTGGGAATCAATATTGATCAAGCCGAATAGAAAATCAATGAATGTTATAAATATCGCTTAATAAGTATTTTATATTCATATCCTCATGTTCCATCCCTGACCTGTTTACAGTAGTTTGTCAGATTTAAATTTTTAACAGTTTGACACATTGCGAATATAGGTTAATGTTATTTTTATTACTGGCAACAAATATTTCATTTAAAAATAACTATAATGTATTTAATAATGTGAGAATAATGATAAAACTGTTAGTTTTTGTGAATTTTTTTGTCTGTTATTGATTTTTATGTGGGATATATTTTTATGTGGGATTCATTTGATGTCGGATTGGTTTTAGGTGGGATTAATTTTATGTAGAATTGTCTTACTACACTTATATTATATTGTGTTCTTCCTCCCACCACGAGTGGCACTTAAAGGTCAGTTCTGTCACATGTAAAGTAGGTTACTGACACGATTAACCCGGAGTATGATAAATTATGCTAAACCCGGAGTCTCCGGCTCAAAATAACGAAAAAAATTAAAAATATATTAAAAAAGGTACAAATGAACTACTTCTTAAATAAGCTATTTTGAACATAAAGAACACCCAAAAAATATGATACAAATGAACTAGTTCTTGAATAATAATTTAAAAAAAATATTCCGAGTGATATTGTTTACTTTTTGGAACATTTTTATTACAATAAATAAGATAATAAATGCAACACCACAATATTTTTTTTCACCGCTATTGTAATCCTACATTGATTTTAATGTGGGACTGATTTTATGCTGGACTGATTTTTATGTGGAAATGATTTTATGTGGGATCAATTTTATGAGGGATTGCTTTTATGTGGGATCCATTGTATATGGGATTGATTTTTATGCAAGATTGATTTTTATGTGGGATATATTTTTATGAGGGATTTTTTTATGGGATTCATTTGATGTAAGATTGGTTTTGGGAGGGGTTAATTTTATGTCGAATTGCCTTACTACATTAATATTATATTGTGTTCTTCCTTCTACCATAAGTGGCACATAAAAAGCCAGTTCTATGACATGTAAAGTAAGCTAGTGACAGGAAGAACCCGGAGCACGAAAAATTATCGACAAACCCGGAATCCCCGGGTCAAAACAATCCTAATGTGTCTAATTAAATAAAGTAGCTGTTGAAATAATATTTTTATTATTAACAGATCAGGTGTGGATCAAAGGAAACGAATTTACTGTAAAAATGAAGATTTGAACTTACCGCAAGGACTTTCGGGACAATCTTCTTCGGCGATAGCCTCATCTGGAGTCAGAGGGATGCTGTTGTACCTTCCGGCGTCAGGGCATTCAGTGCAGATCATGTCTGTTTCGTCTGTCAAACTGTAGGATGATCCTGCAGAGTCCGTGGAACATCCGACGCTAGGGGGGCTGATGGGACTACCGGTCGGCGGACTGTGGGATATGTCCCGACCGTGGGACCGATTCGGTGCCAGGTAAGGCCTCCACGTGGGAAGGGGGTGGGTGCCCTCGCTGGCAGTGCGAGGTCTCGACGGCATGCTGTCGCAACGTTCTCTGCCTATAAAAAAAATTGGGCACATCGAAAATATCCTATTTTTCTGGGTAATACTTCATATTTTTGATAAAATACAGAGAAATCTGGACTAGGTCTTCAATTTGTATGAAAAAAAGAAAAACTTATTAAAGGATTTTCAGGATAAAAATCGTTGCACGTCATCAATGACGTTACTCTTTCATCATAGTAATAAAAATTTCCCTAAATAAGCTAATAATCGGATATTATGTGAAAGTTAAAATGTTAAAGCTTAATTAACAGCTATGGAGACATGTCAGTGAGTTATCTAATAAAATATATGTATTGTACATTTTTAAGCCAACATTTTCAGGCGTCTCGTTTGCAGGGATTTTTAACAAAATTCTTGCAGATGACACTTCCTGACAAACACTTCTCTAAATTCCAGCTGGACGTACGATCATACCATCTTAGAACGAAATAGTGGTAATAGGCAGAGCTGGTATCTTCATTAATATAAAAATTTTAACAAAAGCGTATTGATGGGCCAATATGGGGTGTTGTGGTTTCTAACTTAAATATAGTTATGTTAAATTAATTTCTTGTTGGAATGTGATTAGTTTGATATATATTTTCTGTGCTAATTCCCCATTTTAATGAAGACAGCGTTTAATTAATCTGCAATATACTGAGCTTTTTGTACTTACTAACTGTAGTTATATTTTGTGAGACTATTTGAGATATGTTTACATGGTTTTTGTTCAGATATTTATTTTACACAAAGCGAATCAATATTTACTATTAGGTATCACATTACAAAATGTTAGCCTACCTTAAATGGTAAAATATATTATTATTTCTGATATCTCAATATACGATAAACATATAATGTAAATTGATAAAAAAAAACCCAAAATATAAAAATATTATAGTAATTAACGTCAATATATCTCTGAATTTTATCAAAAATAACATGTTGTTTTGATTGAAATATACACTGAAAATGTAACACCATAAAAATTACTTCAAAATATATTTTTAAAACGTAAAAAAGTCACGTATCAGAAAAATGGTCCGCGCAGTTTCCTTATGGCAAATGGATTTCAGTCAAATATGCTAAATTTTATATTCTTTTATGACCAGTTATTGAGATACAGGTATTTGGTATTTGAATTTGGTATTTGATTTAAAATTGTGTATCTAAAAAAGAAACCTTTTGTATTTTTGACAACTTTTGTTCTTTATTGTTCTTGTTCTACTAGTATTTAGATTAGACACCTTGTACCCTGTATTATAGCAATCTTCCTTACTTGACTTAGCACTATTCTGAATCGGATAAATTAGTTAGACTTGAAGGGCTATCTTCATTAATCAAAATTACAAGTGGTTCTACTTGAACCTCTATAATATTATCCAACTCCCACATTTTTACTTCAACTTTTTGGCGAACATGGTCGATACCCTTTTTCAATTTTTCTGGAGAAATTAATAATATTACTTCTTCAAAAAGAATTTTAATGTCTCCAGATTTAAATGTTGAGTTTTTATCTGCTACGTATTGTTTAACGTCAACCTAGATTAATTCAATATTATGTTGTTTTGCTGCTTAGCCATTTCATCTATTACATATCTATCATAATGTTTATGTTGCTTACCAAGTTTTAGAAGTTGGATCTTAAGCATTTGGTAGTCGAATTCAATTTTTTTCCCTTATAGCCATTTTTAAATATCAACTTTTTTAGACGTCGTTGTAGGTATTTTTTCCAGCTTTCTCGAATAATAATGCAGTTATCTTCTAATTTTGGTAGGGTGTTTGAAAACCACTCTTTGAACGATTCTCCACACGTTTCTTCATGGTAGTCACCGGATTTTTTAACTTAAATACATAAAGTGCATTAGAGACAAAGCCTTCTTCACTTCCAATATGGCATATAATGAGCTGTTTTTACGCACATACCTGATGGGTTTTTAAAACCAGTTAAAAGTTCATCCAAAAAGGCTTGTCTGGATGATAAAACCGACATATCGAAACATACTTTTGATTTGGTGTCGCCTGCGTTAATCCAAGTCTCATCAAGATAATATATTTTTTGCTTTTCTTCTCTGTACCGTTTTATTTTTTGTGGCGTAGGACGAAACAATTTCATTTTGTCTAAAAGCAAACTATTTTTTCCTCGAGTTTTAAATTTAAAATTAAGGGTTTTGAAAAGCTTGTAAAGTGTAGCTCGCTTAAAAGTAGACAAATATGGATCATCGTTGACTTCTTATAAAACCTTATCGATTGTTGGAAGTTAATTTCTAAAGAAGAATTGATGTACTTTGCGCCTTATTGCATTTTTATCAAAATTATCCACAGAGCCACTAATTTGTTTATAACGTAGCTTTCTTTTTGGTTCAGAAAATTTATGAATCTGCCTATACTCCTTCATAACATTAAAAACGATTTTAGCGCACATCCCTGTTTTATCAGCAACTCTCCTTTCAACATCATGTACCAACATATCAGGGTTCTATAAAATTTAATGCTTATAAATATTAAGAACCATTTCTTTAGTACGGATGACCAAATGTCCCTTTTTCGGTCGCTTTTTAGAAGGAGTAAAAACATTTTTATGGACTTCATCTGCTGTATCTGTGGAGGACATAGTGTCACGCAGCAGTTACAAAATATAGTCAATTAAATGTCCATAAAATAGAGTAAAAAATGTTCAAACTAACAACAACCACAAAAACAAAAAAAAAAAAAAAAAATAACACAATATATGTATATCTAAACTATAATATAATGAATTATAATCAATCAAACATACAAAATGTCCAAACTAACCAACACGGTGAATGCTACCAAAACGCCGTTTATAATTATCCAAATTGAACTGAATTCGACTCTGACAAAAAATATTTGCGCATCGTCTAAATGACTAACGACCGATTAACCAATAGCAGCGCAAAGAAAATGCCACGTGAGCTGTTGCTGGATGGGAGAGATTGTTTTGACGCAGCGTAGTAAATGAAATCTGAATAGACTTTAGTTGAACAAATATGAATGTCAAAAAATGTCGGGTCCACTGTAAACACCGTTGTTTGCATTTTCGGATAAATTGTCAATGTTATGACTTGAGTTAGGATTTATAAAGTTAGTTTATTCTGCGTACTTGGGAAGTTTAATGAGTAGCTTGCATTTGTGTCGTGTTTTTCTAAATTGTTTTCTTGTGGGACCTTTTGTTGATGTTTCTGATATTGAAACGGACAATGTTGAAGATAATTCTATTGAGAAGCCGTCAGAATTTTTAAATAAAGACTTGTATCCTCAAACCCAAAGACTCATTTTAAATATTTACACTTGCTTGAAAAGTGTGGGGCATCACAAAACGAAATTTTAAAAAGGATTTGTGAACTGACTAAACTTCCTCGTACTACAATTTATACTGTTGTTAGAGCATTCCGTAAAACCAGGCCCATGACACTCCCTGGGCGGGAAAAAGACGCGCAGCTTTTACTGCGCTGACGTTTTCGGGATATAACCTATCACTTGTCATAAATCCGGTTAAAAACTCGCTACCATGCGCAGGCAACCCATATTTCGTACACAAATATAAACTTTTGTTTACATTTTATCGAATGTTTTTGTAATACATTCACAGCTTAAAAACGGAAAATTTGTTATTTTGATAGTGGATTTAGATCAAAAATACCCCAAATACACTTCAGTGTGTGTTTTATCCTTATTATTGCTCGTTTTATTTGAGGGCATTGGAATAAATAGAGTACTAAAAGTAATCAAGCTAAAAAGGTGTGTTATAAAAAGAAAATACATTGCCTTCGACTGATTTATGTTTAATATGTTTTCGTGACATATTTCCAACATGCTAGTTACTTGAAGGGTTGTAAATTGTACGTGTATAAGTGATAAAAACATCTAGTGCTTTGTGCTTCCTTTTTTTCTGTTGGTGTCCCAGCCCAGCATTTCTAGCCAGCAGTAGTAGCAAAAACATTAACATTGTCTACATTCAACCCATTTACATGTACATGATTTATAAGCTAAAAGCAGAATACAATAATTCTCTGCAAAATGTAAACAACGCTACAAGAAAAATTGCTCTTGTATAAATTCAACAATTAAATCAAAATATATTACTTTTAAAGGACTTATATCAACTATTATGTTAATTAAATATTATAAGTATTTGTAACAAAATAATAGTTAATAATAATAATAATAATAATAATAATAAACGTCTTTATTATACCAGCAAAACAACATTTACAAAGTATAAATGGCGTAGTCTAGCCAAATGGCCATTCAACTTAACCATATCACAAATCCTAAAACTAACTTAAACCTAACCTACTCTACATTACGCTGAATGTCTACGGATGAATTCAAATTTAAATTAAGAACAAGAATTAAATAAAACAAATAAAATAGAATATGAATTAAATATTTTCATTTGCTTGGCTACCAAGAAAATATGATTTTAACATTATTTTAAATGAACTAGTACTCAAATATGATTTTAAGTGTGTATTTAGTGAATTGTATACTTTAGCGACATTATAGCTAAAGTTGTGTATTAATAAACCTGTTGCTACTCCAAAAAATATATTATTTATTGTTTATCAGGTATCAAAAATATGTGTACCTATAGAAATTTGTTGAAATGTTCTATTGCTCTTAATCTTTTTAATGGGTTCTTATTATAGTTGTAAATAAAAATCAACACTTTTTATTCGTCTATTTAACACTTACAAACGTATGCATATTTTAAGTTGTAAGGATCCATAGCCTCTTAATGTTTTACATTAGAAATAAGACCTGTGATGTCACATTAAATCGTTAATATGAGGTAAAGGATTTGGGAGTTGTCTTTCAGTCTAATTTGAAGTTCAATAACCATTTTTTACACATAACTAAAAAAGCAATAAAAGCATTAGGTTTTTAAATCAGAAATACAAAAAAATTTAGGATTACCACCAAAATCAGATTATATAATGCCTTAGTAAGACTCCATCTTGAGTATGTTTCACAAATATGGATGCCCTTGGAAGCCACACAAATTGATCATATTGAAAAAGTACAAAAAATATTTTTACGGTACCTTTATGTCATAAAAAATACTTGTACCCTTATACCTAAGATCTCGTATAAAACTATGCTCAATAGTTTTAAGATTAAATCTCTTTTACAAAGAAGAAAGCAACAGGCTGTGATATATTTTGTACTCTATTTTAAGTACAAAGATTGTGAATTGATTGACTATATAAATGTTAATGCGGCAAAGATTAATCTAAGAAACCCAAGTAACAATAAATTATTTGATTTAGATCCAAGTAGTATATCTCTTTTTACCAAGATGATGGCTGTTACCAATGAGTTTCTTAGCGAGATCCAAATAGATATCTTTAATGTTAGCCTAAGAAAGTTGAGGACTGTACTAAATTAAGTTCACTAGATATAAAGGTTTGTTTTGTTTTTGGTCTTAAATTTCTTGTTACTTAACTCTACATGTAACTACTATTAATTTTTTTAAAGTATCCAATACATAAATTATACCTTATGGCTGCTTTCAAACAATTCTGTGTATAGTCACTTAGTTTAAAGTCAATTTTAAATTAGTGGTTTTACAAGAATGTCAAATAGTAATATGTATTGTGTCTATGAATTTGCTGTGTGTAGTAAATGGCCAATATACATAACTTTGATATTTTTATCACAAGTGTAAAAACTACGAAAACCATATACATATAGTTCCCATTTTAAAATAAATTCAAATTAATTCATAATAGAAAATAACGATTTTAGTCTGCCATACTTGAACTCATTCACAAAAACAAGTCACTGAGTATATATTTGTCAAAAAACTACACTAAATATGTCTCCGTTACAAATTTTTGAATTTAAAACTACATACTTTCCTATAGATTTTGCAGTACCTAAATAACGTATAGAATAAATTTTTACAATATACTAGAAAAGTTTTAGATTAGAGTAATTCTTAAGAAAAAAAGCAATACCTCTATTTTGTTACTCTAACTTTGTGGGTTATATATTTCCCTTGACATACTAACGTTATATTTTGAAGTAAAAGCAATTAAACTTTTCACCAAAAAGTAATATTTCACCTATATAAAAAAATTTAAAACGGTTCTGTCTTTCTTACATTTGCGAAGACTGCCCTGATATCTAATCTATTTTCTTCTTCAAAGTAATTAAGTTGTTCAACCGTTGTCTATTAAGGTATCTCACATCTCCCTCATACACACGAATTTGAAAAGCTGCAGAACAAAAATTCAACTAACCATGTATACCAAGTCCGTGTAAAGAAAACTTTTCATATCCCGAAAACGTCAAGTGTCAACTAAAATTTCTACTTTTAAAGATCAAACGTGCCGCCTCAGAGTGCCAATACTGATTGGTATATATACTGGGGTAAAACGAAAAAGAGATAATCAGAAGCTTAGGAAGGTTGATAATGCCGCCAAAAAAGTTATACGCCGAGTAATAAACAAGTTTTACAAAGAAAACAAGGTTCCAACTTTAGAAATGGTTCGTAACAAGTTACAAGATTATCTGAAGATCTTTACGGTCTTTACATTGTTATATAAAAAGATTGTTATTGTATTTTGGTAGTTTTAAGTATCTTAAGAGAAATAATTACTATACTTTTTACTATTTATTTATTTATTAACGTCTTAAAGTATTTTTTTAAAATATTCCCTAGTCCAATTCCTTGTATCTCGAAAACCAGTAATAGGACAACTTTGTATCCAGCAAATTCGATCGAACGCCACTTACCAAAAGGAAAACAAACGTCTAATTTGTTTCTTGGTAAAGAAATTTCCAATGTACCACATCATTCAAAACTTAATAATATATAACTAGAAATAATATGCGCAAGCCAATTATAATATAAAAAAAACAAATATTAACACGAATAAATAGTAAACAATCGATATGTTGGAAGTGTTCAACCCGCATTTTATTGTAATACATAAATATCATGCATAAATTGTTTATAAAAAAATATTTTTATAAAACATAAAGATAAAGAAATTGAATATAAAAACACAAAGCATACAAAAGCACATATATCAATGATAATGCAAACCAATCTGTCAAAAAGCATTCAAAAATGTTAACAATTTTTTGTTTAGTATTCAAATAGACTTTTTTCATTTCTAAAGACACTGTAAAAAATATGACAGAAAACAATACATAAATAAGACACTTTTTAAAGGTTGCAAATATATCTAATACTTTGCACCTTCTAGTTTCCCGCAAAGGTCAATTCTTGGACTCTCTTTTATTAAAGTGTCATTTTATATTCTTTTATCTTGTTTTAATGTTTAACGGATATTTTTGAATGCTTTTATTAGACGGTAATGAAGAACAAGCGAAATAATTTCGTAATACATACACTTGGCGGTTTGATTCGACCTGGACTTATTGACATTGACATTTGACGTGTTCGTCGCGTTGACGGCACGCGCCGACGGATGAAATAGTGTGTAATTATCGGTGGAAATGGTACTGTTGGCGGTGGGGAGGATTGGTGCGAACGTAGGGGTATGGTCGGTGAGGGGCAATGACTGAGTGCGTTGGTGGCTGATTGTCGATGCCGGACTACTAGACACAACCCCACCTGTTGCCAAGAAACATACATATTTTTTTTTACCTTTCCCACTAGCTAACTATAGTTGAATCCGTAAATAATAGGCAATAATTTATTATCAGGAATGTGACAAAAGTTGCCATTGCAATATATGCCTGTTAAAAAAGTCCTCCGAACATTTGGTGCAATGACAAATGATAGCATTCTTAACTCATCAAATTACTTTCTATTTTTTGAGAATTCAACTATAACCTATACCGGGTGGCTCACGAAAAACCGATTGGCTACACCAAAAAAACAGTTAATCAATTTAATATAGACGCATTATGTGACAAAAACGAAGAAAACTGGTTTACCCGACAAAAATGGTTTACACGACAAACATGATTTGCACGACAATACAAAAAAAATTGTTTACCCGACAAAAAAGCGTTAACTATAAAAAACCAACAGTTGTTTCACCTTTACAACATGATTTGCACAATACGACAAAAATGATTTACACGACAAAAATGGTTTACCCGACAAAACAGCGTTAAACTATAAAAAAACGTCGTTTCACCTTTACAAGGTGTAATTTGTTCGCATTTTTCTCGTGCAATTGAAACGATCTCTTTTCCCAAAATGATACACAGTGTGGTGCAAATGAAAGGAATGAATTCATAAAGGAAATGAAAATCACCAAGCTTTAATCATATATTTTTTTATTAAAAACCAGAGATGAAGCGACTAATTTCGGTCAATGACCATTAACAGACATGTAAAAGAAAGTATGCTGTAAAGGGTGTCCCAAATTGGTATGTTTTGCTGGGTATCCCGAAAACTAGAGGAACAAAAAGTTGTTAAGATGTCATGACTTTTTATTTGCTAAAGTAACGATTGCCCAATTAAAATATTCAATAGCTCCCTTCACTTGAGAGACTATTGAAAACTGACGAAAACTACAAGGTTCTATAACTTCTTTATTAAGAAAAATAATAAAAACTTTATAGGAACTTTTGATAAAAGTAATATGGAAGAGATCAGTGGCGTACATTTTTTTAAGGGGTCTCACTAAGGAAATATAATACAAATTTATGGCTTTTAAGTGGGACACCCTATATATTTGAAATTGTAGTTTCCATTTTTTAATTCTCTTTCACCTGATATGACATATTATACAGCGTGAGCCACCGGTTACACCTCGATAGGTATGGCCAAAAGTATTTGATTTTTTAAATTTGTTTTCATAGCAACAATTTAAAAATAATTTTAATCATTAAAATGCCCTCGCTTTTTCCAATATAACAATACCAAATAGTATGAGATTATACAGGGTATTTCACACGCTATAACCAGTTTTATACGAAAATCATATTGATTTTAATGACCTGTATACTGCAAAAGAAACGATTTAAAATCAATTTTTTTTAAGTAAATGGTTTTCGATATTAGTCAACATTTTATGCCGATACATTACTTTTTCAACTCAAACAAATCTGTACAGGGCGAGTTAACTCTAATAATTTTCTCATTTTTTTAAATTGACCACCCTGTATTTTATATCACCATTTTAAAGTACCTTTATTGAAGTTTCATTTGAGTTAAGCATTCTCATAACTAAAGTTAATAATTTTGGGTGATTTTTAAATTTAAATTACAAAAAACTTTAATTTTAACTGGTAATTTTTAATTAGAATTTAACCAGCTATAATTTATTATCGATTGAATTGTTTGAAAATTTCTAATAGAACTTTAACATTCAGTTAAAAATAAATACCTACCAATAGCAACCACTCATAGACTCATTTCATTATAATACCTACTTTATTTTAAGTTTATTATATTTTTAACTTTACTTTGAAACCCCAACATTGACAGATCGTTATTACTAACGTCATTTGGTTTTAAAAAAGTCTAGCTAGTTTTTTAATATGACCTTTAGTCGTGAATAAGAGAAGTATTTCGAGTATTATTCAAGAAATGTTTAGAAATGTGAGTTGGACCTTTGAAAACTACCCTTAGGCCTCCATAAATGTCGTTGGAGGCTACTTAAAGAAACTTTTCTAATTAAATAAAATCTGTCAAAATAACCCTTAATAAAAATATAAGTTGCTACTTTTTTATTTTTCTTCTATTTTATTCTTTTTTTTTAACTGAACGTTTAAGTCCTATTAAAAATTGTCAAAAACTTATTTAGTCTATAATAAATTACAGTTGGTTAAATTCTAATTACTAATTAACAGTCTATTTCCTAACCAGTTAAAAATTAAAATATTTTTTGAATGAACTTCTTTCCCATTTAAATTTAAAAATCTCCCAAAATTATTAACTTTAGGTATAGGGAATGCTTGACACAACTGAAACATTAATTAAAGTACTTTTAAATGGTGGCCAATTAAAAAAAAAATATGATGTAATGTTGCTTGAATTTTGACTCATCCTGTACAGTTTTGTTTTGAATTTAAAAAGTAGTTCGTCGGTATAAAATATTTACTAAAATTGAAAAACTCTTACCGCAAAAAAATTGTTTTTCAGTTGTTTCTTTTGCAGTATACAGCTCATTATAGCGTGGGAAATACCCTCTATACGCTCATTGGTATTGTTATAATAGGAAAAGCGAAGACAATTCAAATATAACATAAAATATTTATTACGTTCTTGGAGAACCCAGTATAATTGAAATTATTTTTAAATTGTTATCTTTTCTGATATACATCTTACCGTGAAAACAAAATTAAAAAAATCAAATAATTTTGGCTCTACAGAACAAGGCGTTACCGGTGGACCACCCTGTATATCTATTTTCAGCAGTTGGGGATACAAAGGGCAAATAAAATGTTTATTTTTGATATCATGTTAAAGACACTTAAAAAATGAAACACTCAAAGGTCTGTTCTGGTTCTTCAGAAATAAGTTGAAAACTGTCCTAGTACTAGATGACCAGTGGAAAGTTAAAAAGTTTTACGCGTCGCACAATTGAATATTCAACTGTTTCACTGGATCTCGGACGGTTTGCAGTACATTTTGAAGAAACCAGAACAAGTCTTCAGTGAAACATTTTAACATTTTATTATAAGGATACTAATTCGTGACACTTTTATATTTCTTCTCTAGTTTTCTGGATACCCTACAAAACATGCCAATTTGTGACACCCTGTACAGTACTGTTTCCTTTTTATTTTAAATTTATTTCTTTCATTTATACCATTCTGCATGAAATATGTAAATGCACCAAAACAGTGGCCTAGTCTAGCATGGCACGGTCATATTATTATAAGAAAAAACGAAGCTTAAACTAATTCTAAATCGCTCGTCCTCTTTGGAGTAAGCCTCAAGTCGACCAGAGCTGCCACCATTTGATTTTATTTCTTTGAGTCAATGAAAGAACCATTGCAAGTGCATTAAATTGGACCCAGCCACTAGTAATCGATGAAAAATATTATTTACTGGAGTCAAATCTTTAATCAACTGAAACTACCGCCGTTAGCTCTTGCAAAATAGAAGAAATGTCGGTGTTTGCTGACAAAAATAATGTCAAAATCAGCTACGATGACGTTACGAGTCATTCTGCACCATTTCACATTAAAATATAATGCCAACATTCAGTTTGTGGATGTATTAATCATATCTTCTGACAAGCGCTAGGATATTAGGATTAAACTTTCAACTTTGAGCGTATTTATTTTTTTCGAAATTGCTACGCCACTGTTCAAACGAAACGTGAGTAATTATTAGAGCAACTAAACTACATATTTGTTAAAACAGCAAATAACAACGACTTTCTTGTTGTTCGAGATAATTTTTTCGACAATAGGAACGAAACAAAAATAAAATAAATTTTTCTTCTGTTTTTGTATTACAAAAAAATTATCCGATGACAATAACAAGTCGTTTGAAGTGGAACACACGTAAAAATAGTTTATATACAAAAGCCGTATCTCTAAAATAATCGATATTATTTTTATTCTCGGTGCGATCGCTTTAAAATATACAGGATGTCGCGAAATTATTTTCGTATGGATGAAAATCACGATTCAAAATTCTTCTATACAACCACACAAAAATTGTCACATCATTTTTATATTTAATATTTATTTATATGGTACTTACAGAAAATAATTTCTAAATAGTACAGTGTATCTACCCTTACACAGAAAACTGTAATAAGATATAAAAAATACACTACAACACCATTGACGATACATAAAGTAAAATTGTTCAAATAAAAGTTGTTTGTGATGTCATTCTCTATAATTTTTATTCGATACATAATTTCTCTAAAATGGACCGTATTCGAGTAATTTGAGAAAAAGGGCAATTTTTAAATTTAAGTTTTCATTCTGCAGTGAACTAATTAAATTTTGAGCATAATCGAAACATCTAGGCCCTAAGGGATACTTTATAGAGTATTGTTTTTCTATTTAATATAATATGGGATATATTCTGTAAAAAATTGGTTAAAATTAACCATGGGTTATAAAAATAACCAGATGTCATTGTTAATTTTGTATTCTGTTCTATTTGGTTAAAATTATAAGTTCTGTCAGTTAATAAATTTACTAATGATTATATGTCAAAAAATGCTTCAAATAAAATTTGCTTTTAATGTTATTCTTCATAATTTTTGTTATATACATAATTTTCCTAAAATGGTCCGTATTCGAGAAATTTGAATAAAAGTGTAAAATAGGAATTTTTCAGAAAATATTTCAAATAAAGATTGTTTCTCTATAATCATAATTCTCTATAATTTTTGTTCTATACATGATTTTTGTGTATTTTCGTTGGCAATGCATTATATTTTAAATTTTAAAGAAAACTCAAAAATGGATAAAGAGGAACACATCATATTTTAAACTGAGACCTGAGATGAACTGATTAGATTTTGGGCAGAGTCGGAACATTTGGGGTTACTTTATAGGGGTCATTTTTATATTTTATTAAATATTTGTTATTTACGTTTGGAGAAGAAAATTCTTCAAATGAAAGATACTTCTTATATTAAACTCTATAATTTTTGTTTTATACAAAATTTTCCTAAAATGGTCCGTATTCGAGAAATTTTACAAAATGTAAAAAATTCAATTTTTTAAGAAAATTGTTCAAATAAAAGTTGTTTGTTATATTATTTTTTATAATTCTTGTTTTATACATGATTTCTGTGAAATGGACCGTATTCGAGATATTTGAGAAAATGTGTAAATTTTGAATAAAACTCAAAAACAGATAAAGAGAAAAACACCAAATTTTAAACTTAGCCTTTATTCTGGCCTACGGTGAAATGATTAGATGATTAGATTTTTGGCAGAGTCGGAACATCTGGGGGGTACTTTATAAGGAATAATTTTTATATTTTATGGAATATAACTGTTATTTATGTTTCGAGAATTCTTTAAATAAAAATTACTTCTTATATTATTCTTTATAATTTTGGTTATATACATGATTTCTTTAAAATGGACCGTAATGGAAAAATTTGAGGAAAAGTGTAAAATTTAATTGTTTCAGTATTTTCTTTGGCAATGAATATATAAAAAATGTATGTATTTAGTTCATCCTCTTAACATTTACAGTGATGATACAATAGGTTGTACAAAATAACCGGAAAACATCTGTAATACTGTAATAACTAGACCCATCAAATTTTTTAATTCTCACATTCCCACCATCTGTAGAATTCGCCTGATCTCCAGATTGTAATGGGTCAAATATCTACCTACACTTCCAGTTATTGACCCAAGTAATAAACCCTTAGTTTTTTTTATAATTTGTATGTTTTAATTTTTATCTGTTCGTGTTTTTCTTGTTTATCTGAAAACATAATCTGTAGTATAGTTGTGTAATGATCCGTTACATCGTTTGTAATTATAAAAGGTAATATATTTTCTGTACTAAATTTTGATTTAATGAATATGTGATCTGAATATGATTTATATATTGTGGTTGCTTTATTAATTGTTGTGTTCACTATAATATAATATATAATGTAATTTTCATCCATACGATTTTCTACTCAAACATTTCGGACAACCTGTACATAAAACCCAACAATTTTTTAAAAAAATTCGTTGATAATCCTCATTTGAGACACACCCGGTACACGTTGTTAAATTAATTATTATCAAAACCCGCAAATAATTAGTGTTCGTCGATTTATTTTTACAAAAGTTTCTTACCCGGACCGCCGATGTTATTGAACATGTGGGTGGCCGTTTTGGGAATCCCCGATATCACCTGTTTCCTGTAACTGTTATTCAACGGTTTCGAAGATTCTGTCGCCGATGAAGATCTCACGCGCATCTCGTCAGTTTTGCTGTTGGTGGACATCGCGCTAAAAACAAAAACAATCGATTAGTTTTGAGTTTTATTTTATATTTAAAAAAACTCGTATTATTAATAAGTAGAGAGCGGAATATATGCAATCTACCTAAAGATCATGAAATATTTAGATTTTAGAGTGTAATTTTTTAATTCATTTTAAGGATAGATTTTGATAGAGTATCTATATCTATATATCTATATGTAGTAATTTGAAATCAGCATCACTTAACAAAACACACTTTGGATGGTACCAATTACCGCATGTACCCTCACAACTGACAAGATTATCATCTCTTTTCTTTAATTTACATTTAGCACATAATTCGGGCATTTTAGATTCTTTATGTATATGAATGAATGAATGAATGAATGAATGAATGAATGAATGAATCTGTTTATTTAGCCATTGCTATTATATACAATTATTTTTTTTTTATTTACATATTTTTTTTGTTATCTTACATAATATACACAATTGTTTAATTTGATTCTCTAAGATATTTACATAATTTTTTGTTAAACAAATTCAAATTGCTAGAGTCTTTTATTTCTTTTGGCAGATTATTAAAAAGATGTATTCCATTAATTAGCAACGATCCCATTAAGAAAGTTTTATTTGAAAAATTTATGTTGAAATTTTCATCGGATCTTAAATGTCGAGAATGTAAGTGTTGCCGCGTAACTAGTAACTCACTTAGATATTTCGGTGTTAATTGATGCATCATTTTATAGATTACAACGAGGGTTGCCTTTTTAATATTCTGTTCAATAGAAAGCCAATTTAGGGTTTGTAGCATATTTTTGATTGGAGTGTAAATATTACATTTTAGAACAACTCTCATACATTTGTTTTGGAGTACCTGAAGTCTGCTTACTTGTTCTTTATTACATGAAAGTAAAAGTGACATACAAAAGTTAAAGTGTGGATATACAATTGTGTTATAAACAAGATTTCTACTCCATTGAGACAAATTTGAAGCTATTCTTCTAAAGAACCCTATTTTCTTCCCTAATTTCCTACATAAGTAGTCTGCATGACTGTTGAAAGTCAATTGAGGATCTAAAATAACTCCTAGGTATTTAATCGTATATACTTGTTCAATGGCAATATTGTTTATACAGATGATAAAATTTCGCTCCGCAAAATTGTTACAGGTCGATTTAGATCCCATTGCCATAAACTTGGTTTTATTTGCATTTAGTTTTAATTTGTTGATACACAACCAGTCATACAGAATACTTAGCTCACTGTTTAAGGTGCGAACAGCTTCTTCAAAATTAGTAGCCGCGACAGATATGAGTGTGTCATCCGCAAATAAACTTACAAAAGATTGTTGTAACGCGTCCTTTATGTCGTTTATATATATAATGAACAATAAAGGGCCCAGGACACTGCCTTGTGGTACACCGAAATTACATTCCGTTCCATTGGACACACTGTTGCCTACTCTAGTTTGGTGGTATCGGCCTTGAAGGTAGTTGTGGATTAATTTTATGGCATCTGATTTTATACCATATTTCTGTAGTTTGTAGAGTAGCAGTTTCCGATCAATCGTTTCAAAAGCACGCTTTAAATCCACAAATACACTCAAAACTACTTTTCCTTTATTAATTTCCTCCCTCCAGTTAAAACATGCAAATTGCAATGCCGTTTCACATGAATGACCATCACGAAAACCAGACTGCCCTGAGTACAAAATATTGTTTCTTTCAAAGAATAGCTTCAATTGATCTCTTAACACAATTTCAATAATTTTATCTATAGTTGGTAGTAAATTAATTGGCCTAAATTGTTCTGGCAGGGTTGGCGACGGAACTTTAGCTATTGGCACGATTACACTAATTTTGAGATCCGAAGGGATTCGTCCACTAGTTATCACTGTATTTACAATATTTAGCAAGGGATATCCAACTACACAAAATAGGTCTTTAAGAAGTTTTGGACTTAAAAAACCGTCACTCGAACTTTTATTCTTTAGGCTGCTCACTATTTTTTGTAACTGGCTGAAAGTAATTTCTTGAAATTTTGCTAATTGTTCTTTCTGTACTTCAAGGTCATTTCCAAATTGCAGTAAGCCTTTATCTTCTATACTCTCAGCTAGATCACGAATGCTATCACTGTAATATTTATTAAAGTTTTCTTCAGGTGGTCCGGAATAGCCTTCAAAATTGATTTTATCTATTGGCAGATCTTCTTTCTTCTGTCCAAATAACTGTTTTATTGTTTGCCACATCTTTTTGCTATCTCCTTTGGATTTGTCAATTTTGTCTTCGTAGAATAATTTCTTTTCTCGGCGTAATACATTGACTGCCTGGTTCCTCTTGTTTTTATAATCATTCCAATCCTCCTGAGTACCTGTAAACTTAAATCTATTGTACGCTGCGTTTCGTAATTTTTGTGCCTGTGTAACACGTATATTGATCCATGGTGTCTGATTGCATTTAATTTTATTAATGGGGCTAATTTTATTGAGAGAGTCTCGAACATTATTTGAAAAATTATTATATAACACCTCGACATCCGTTGATGTTGTTTCCCAATGCTTTCCTATCAAGTCCAATATAATTTTATGTATATTTTCCTCATTAATATTCCTTCTCCAGATAAATTTTTCTACAGATGTATGATTTAAGCCAGGTACATTTATTCCTATTACATCATGGTCTGATATTTTAGGAAAGTTTCTAGGGAGTTCAGCCACGGTGAAATTATTAGTTATAATGTAGTCGACGAGAGTAGCCGATGTTGGAGTAATGCGTGTTGGATTTTCAATAATTTGTTTAAATCCGGAGTCAATTACGATATTCTTTATTTTATTAGATGTACTGGTATTTGATTTAAAATCTATGTTAAAGTCTCCCAAAATAATAGTTTCATCGTCGTTAATAAAATCGTTTTTAAAAAGAGCTTCAAAGTAATTTAAAAAATCATGAACATTTCCGTTAGGAGAACGATATACTGCTCCAATAATCAACACTTTTCCATTTATTGTAATTTTAATAATTAATGCCCAATAATTTAAAGTAATTGCAACACTATGTAGAATAGAGAAGTTTACATTTTCATTTAAGTAAATGATGCACCCCCCTGTATGACGACTCTTTGATTCAACTACAATGTGGTTATAATTTAATATTTTATACTCACTTGCATCTATGTCGTCAGTGATATGTGTCTCTGTAACAGTTGCTAGTAAAGGCTTCTCGGTAAAAAGAAGTGTACGTAGCTCATCAATGTGTGATGTTAATCCTTGGATATTAAGGCAAATTATTTTTTGGGTTCCGGTATAGGTTTTTGATGGTTGCTATATATATTGAGTTTTTGATTTGGCTTGATCAATTGCTCTTTTATAACATGCACATTCTTTGTCAAAAACACAGTGATCGAACTTTATGCCTGGAATTTTAAGAATATCATGTGCGTGTTTACAGTTTGTACATATTTTACTTGAAGACTGACATTCTGAGCTTTTGTGGTTGCCATTACATTCAGGACAAACTATTCTGTTTGAGGTACAATGTTCTGCTTTGTGATTATAACGCCAGCATTTAAAACATCGACGTATACCAACATATTCATATACGGGATGACTTTCCCACCCTATAAATATTTTTCGTTTATGGATAAAATGCTGGAAAATTTCTGGCGATACTTCCAATATTATATTGTAGTTACGTTTGTTTTTGGGAATATATTTTTTTATGAAGGTTAATTCTAGAGTGGTTTCTTCAGAAAAATTTTGTTTTCTAATACAATTTAAAAATTCATTTTCATCATCTAATTCCGTTTCTTTTACATCGACGATTAAAATTTTTGGTTTCACTATTTTTGGTACTTCCACCCTGTATTTATCTGATAGTTGATTTTCAACAATGTTCTTAATTCTTTTTGTTGACTCCTTATCATCACACTGTATCAAAACACTGCCATGACTTATTGGTTTTATTTTATTGATAGCGACCGCGATATCAGCTGGATTAATTTTTTCTGCTATGGCACTTTTTGTTAATGTACTAGTTTGGTTCTGGTTTTTTGGTTTGATAATTAACGGAGGTTCGTTTTTCTTAACTGCTTCGGAATATTTTATTTTGTCATCTGATTTTAATTCTTTTATATTTTCCATCATCTGTTGTGTATTTTCAATCAACTTTTCTGTTTTTGCTTCAATTTCTAGAATTTGATGAGTGAACAATACCTTTTCATCCATTCTAATTACACACTCATCACAAAACCAAAAAATATTTCTGTTTTCATTTATTGCTTTTTGAACTACATCTTTTAGTTTAACACACTGAGCATGATAATGATTTTTGCACAATTTGCATGAAATTAATTTATTATTTACAATAAAATTGTCAGCACAACTGGCACACACGTGTATACCGGTCGGCATCTTGACTACTGTGACTGTGTGTGCAGTTGGTTCACACCCGACAGATTAAACGATAGATAAATAATTATTTTTCTGCCAATTGAAAACATAACACTGCTCAATGGAAAATAAAACCAAATTTCTATAACGTACCTACACTTTTTAATGTTAAAGAATACTTTATAAGCCGTTTGGTACTATTAAAACAAAATATAAATCGCCAATAATTGTGAAATAAATTTGAACTTTTATCAAGACACAGAATCACAACAATCTCACGGGTCAACTGCACCGGTAGAATTTGATTTATTGCATAGAAAAGCTTTACATTTTGAATTTTGATCAAATATTTATACTTTTCTTAATTTGTCAAATTTTGTATTAAATTTAATTCATATTTATTAACAAGTAAAATACCTTAAGTATAACTGTCAAAATCCCTTTAAATATTTAGATGACATGCTCTTTCTTGAATTATTATTATTTACATAATTTGTTTACCAATATATATTACGTTACATTCTTTTAGATGTATTTATATCCTTATTTTATTTTTCCCACCTTTAATTTCATCACAATATATATGCGCATATTATGAATAAATTTTGGTACATATATTCCGCTCTCTACTAATAATATTATAAAACACAAAAGAATGAAAAACTTACTGGAAAATCGTCGCATGAATATTTTGAGCAATAGTAGCATCTTCAGACTCCATCCATAGTTCACCAGGTCCGAGAAGACTGGATCTGCCGATCTGTAAAAAATCACAACGACTTAAATCAGGTCGACGCGCCGGTCAAAACGATTTGTTCTAACCCAAATCGATTACGTTTTTTTTGTACGCAACTTGGATTTTAAATTGGCTTACCTCGAGAAAGAAGTAGTTTTTCAAACTGCCGCAACTTCTGATGTTCGACAGGGTCAAACTGAGGATGGAATTGTTGCATTCCTTTTTGACCAAACACAACTTCTTGTCGGTGAGGCATAATCTGTAGTTGCCGATTCTTCCCGTTCCCAGGCCTCTGTTCAGAATGGTCACTTGCCATACGTGTTCTGCAACAAAACAATAAATAAGTAAATTCCAGTAATAGAAGTGATGATTTTGATGACAGATAATCACTTTATTAGACCATCTGAACCAGGGAGTAGCAACTCGTATGGCAAAAAATGAGGAAGCTAATTAGTAGTGCCTGTGTTTAAATTTTATATAAAAAAAACTATTGACCGAATAAACCAGTGAACTTTTTATTTATATAAAATTCTACTACGGTTAGGAAATTATCTTTATTCGAAGGTAATTAAGTACCACTCCAATCAACGGGATGGCGCTCGTATCTAAATGACAGTTGTCAGCTCGTGAAAAGCTTCAAGATAATATAGGATTAAAATTAAGATGTTTTTGCTGTTGCACTTTGCTGTTGAATTTTAGGAGACACTGTATAAATTGAAATGAGTAAAAAGCTCAGATAAAAAGTAGATAAATAACTAGTCAAGATTTGTATCATGTTCTCCTTTCATTTACGATATTTTGACAATTGGTTCCGGCATCCCATTGGCGATTTTCAATTTAAACGCCTCAATAATTCGTTCTGACCAATTGGGTTACAGAGCCATTAGATAAAGATAGAAAACCAATAACAAGACGATGGTCACATGGCCAAACAGTGTCGTCTCTCAGGGTGTTGTGTATTATTGTGATATTAGATATTTATATTTTAGGCAGAAGGTCTTCGGTCGATAGCCTATTGGACTGGACTGAATTTTCAGTTCAATAAATGACAATTATTATTATTATATTTATATTTTTTGTATAATTTGTGAAATATGCAGAAAAATGATTGTTAATTGTATCGCTTGTGGTAAAGTAAATTTGAACAGGTAGGTATATAATTAATACTTCAGATCATTAGATTTTTATAGAATCTGGTTCCTGCTTCTTCAGTTTATACCTTATATTGATACGGTTTGTAATATGTAACGTCTTTAAATCTTAATTTCTTATTGTTTAGATTTCGTGGAAATCCGAAATTGAAAAACAATTGGATACAGGACCTAGGAATATGCCAAGAGATTGAGTTTACAATAGAATTTGTTTTACATATTTTAGAAAGACAGAATGTGTTTTTCTCAGGATGATAGAGTATTTTTAAAAAAACACGTATTAAAGACGTATAAAAACATATTTAACACCGGTTAAAAAAGTTTTCATTAAGTTTTTAATAACCTATTAAAAACGTATTAAGAACGTATTAAAAAGGTATTAAAACGTATTAAATACGTATTAAAAACTTGAAAAAGCAGGAAAACAGAGAATATAGAAAAACAAACAGAAAAACGTAGACAACTGTAGAGATGCGTAGAAAACCATAGAAAAACAGAAATACCAAAAACAGAAAAATATATAAAACAAAAATAAAACCGTATAAAAAGACAAAAAAGACTAAAAACGTACTAAAAAGATACTAAAAACGTACTAAAAGACACTAAAAACGTACTAAGACACTAAAAACGTACAAAAAATATATATAAAACATACATGAACGTACAATACCCTACAAAAAAATAGAAAACCATTGGAAAACATTGAAAAGCAGTAAACAAATATAAAACAAATAAAAACATAAAATTATGTGTCGCTTCCCTTCTCCATCGGTATGTTTGATGTACTTTACGTTATCATCTTGCCATATTCTCTTGGTTGCACCCCTAAAAAATATCCATTTTTCGTCTAAATATATAAAATTCGCCTTCTTTTTTAAATTTAGAATATTTTCTTAGATATTTAATTCTCTTGCGCACGACAGAACTTCTTTCACAAAGGGCCTTTCTGTTATCCTCCTTTTGAAATTTGAAACCCAAGTTATGTATCACTTGCCATAGACTTGTTCTGCCAATGTCGTCAAATTTTCTATCTATTAATTCCGAGAGAATTGTATTTAAAGTCACATGTTCCTTGTTGGCCCTCATTCGATAAATGGTATCACGAATTTCAAATTTCTTTCAATCTGGAATATCTTTCGTTTTCTAAGATGGGCGAGTTTTGCGCTGATCTTCTTTCGGCAGTTCACTATTGTGATTTTGTAATACTCCTCTTAATTTGGTTTCGCTAATTCCTAGAGCATCGCATACGCGTTGTTGTACAGACATTACCGATTTTAAAGGACCGCCATTTTCTTTTTCATCCGTAAAATACTTATGTACACTACAAATTACATCTAACACACGTCTAGGCATTTTTAAATACATACAATGTCAACACTTGCAAAGAATCAATTCAACTGCAATATTTGTAACAAATTTAGTACCTACCCTAATGTTATTTTAATTTAAATCTGACCATTAGGGCAATTTTACCTAATTTCTTGGGAAGAGGCTTATTGGAACTTGTTGTCAATGACTAATTTGCATAATTTTGTTAATCCGAAACCCGCGTAAGTATAGCGAACAGACTGTAGAAAAAAATGTTCCCTATTATAGTAAAATTCCACCCAAACTCAACTCATTCAATCTTTTCCAAACCAAAACTGGTTTATTTTATTATATTGCTTATTTTTGGAATTTTATGTGACCTTCAAATACCCTTTTGTAATAATTTGCAATTGTAACTATAAAAATACGTTACTGACACGTAGACAAGTAGAAATGAAAAAGAAGATTTTAAATTATAATTCATACTCAAGCACAGACATGACCTAAAGACCTGACTTGGACACAAATACAGTGTCGCCATCTACATTCTATGTCCATCGTCCTCCAATGATCTTTCCATAAGGTTATCCTACTAGAATATCTTCATACAACGATGGTAGCATAATATATTTTTGTACTCTTCAATATAGTCAACCTAAGATATTCATATTGATATCGTCTGTGATTATGTTAATACCACTTTTAACCAACTGATTTAAATAATGTACTTTATCTTTTTTAATTGTATTTATATTGATGTATCATTATCTGAATAATAAACATTATTATTATTATAATCTGAGGGAAAATGGCAATTTTGATATTTCTCAAAATTACTCAAAAACTAGCAAAAATTTAGATGGTGGATTTAAACTAAGAATCTGTTTTCGTAAAACTTCTCTCGATTAACCAACCCTATAACCCTACCCAATTACATCGTGCTAAAATTTGGGACAGCCTGTATATTACATATTCGGAAATCAGCCGATTTAACATTTAGTATACGGTTTTTAAACACAGGGATTAAAATAGGTCGTAACTAATTTAAAAATAACCCAAATACCTAGAAAGACATCTTCGTCGATAGATTATCAGATTCTACTTTCGTTCGCATTCCATTCCTGCTAATATCGCTTTAGGCCTCCGAATCGGGGCCGTGTACTCGAAAGTGATTAACACGTTTAACTGAAACTGGAACAGTTTTGACCGAAACGCGGTTATCTCCCGACCCTTCCTTGCCGAACCGTCTGGCCGAAGCGCGTCATAAATATCAAAATCGGGAATTTCCATGTTTATTTTCGAGCAAAGTGTCACGACGACCGGCGTCTAGACAGACGCTGGAGTGTAAAAAAGAAGATCGAAAGTAAAAATATATAACTTGCAAAATGCGTTTTATTTATATTTCCTGCCCACTGTTGATATAAAAATATCTCGTTTTCTATTTTGATGGAATCAACAAGAATTTGTTTTTTGCTATCGATTCTGTAAATTCCGACCAAGATTTGACGAAAAAATGGTTTCCCTAAATCTGCACAAGACATAACCTTTCGTATAGTCTGTTGCATTTATAGTAGAAAATCATGAAGGAAGGTTGTGTACATGGAGGTAGTATTATAAAGAGGCACTATAAGCATTATTTAACACAGAGATAACACGTCGCACTAGGCGTGGCTTAGAGTCGTAACAATATGGCTGCCTCGCCAGTTCCTTGCTCTCTAAAATTATAAGAATTTTAATATACATATTTTGAATAAGATCTTTATTTTAACTAGGGTCATATGCAGTGGCGGTTCGTGGGGTGGTTCACAGTGACAGAATATAGGTATCAGTACAGATATATGAAAAAAAATTCAGTGTTTTAGAAAGTTTATAATATACCTTCATAAAACACTGACAGTTTTTCACCAATATCTGTACCGGGATCTATATTCTGCTGCTGTGAACCCCCAAAATTTTGGTCACGAGCCGCCCCTGGCCATATGAATAGGTAATGCATTTTTTAAAGATCGAAACAAAATGGGAAGAAAAAAGACGTTCTTGAAAAAGAAAAATGTATTGTCTTATGCTCTCAGATTTATTTGATTTTTGTTTGGTAGCACATTTTTGTAATTTTTTGCAAGAGTTTTTAATAACAATACTTGACAGTTATCCAATGATGGTTGGTCATGACCATGAACTAGTAAATTTGAAAAAATATTTCTATTTACAAATTGTGTAATTATTATATTACAGATGCTGCTGATATTTACTCATATGATTGGTTTTTTAAAACTTTTTCCCATTGAATACATATCTCCAAAACATCTGTTGAGGATATTGTAATTTACTTTTTTTATCTATAAAAGAGAATAGATACAAATCTCTCGTGTCACTTGTTAAAGCAGATATGCATTTAAAACAAAACATTTTAAAACAATGGCCAATATATCCCCCTATGTAGACAATAATAAATTTGGAAAATTGTGATAGAGAGTCTGACAAATAATCATGGTTCCTGTTAACTAATTCATTCAACTCACTATTAGAATTTTCTTTTTTGGAAAATATGAAAGGAAAACTTTTTTGTCATTTGGGCTTTATTTGTTAGTTAAAATATTTAACAGTTTTATATAATATAGTTTCCTAGCCCTTTTTGGTTTATATGGGAAAAATTAATCTATTGCGCAGCATAAAATGGACTTATATAAAACAATTACCGTAAAAAGTTTTCACTTAAAAACTATTTAAAAAAGGAAAATGTAAAAATATTTTTTTAAATACTATTTTTAAATACTATAAAATGGTATTCCTGTCGATTTCTTTTTATCAACTGCATTCCAGTTATTGCAGTTACGAAGAGAACATTAAATTATTATTTGCTTTTA